CCGGTCCGCCAGGGGCCGGGGCGCTAGCGATAGCGCAGCCCTCACCGCCATCCAGCCCATGTACTGGTCCAGTCAAACGTAGCCTAGGAAGTTCTAGAAGTTGCTACTTGGCTCTTCGGAGCTGTAGGAGTCCAGCGTCAGTAGCTGAGGGGATGATGTCAGGGATTGTCTGGGATGTAGCGCCTGAACGGTCACAGCCGCGTGCCTGAATGGTCACAGCCGCGTGCCTGAATGGTCACAGCCGCACGCCTGAATGGTCACAGCCGCGCGCCTGAATGGCTACTGTCTCCCTTACTTCGCAGACGCACGTGCGACTTCGTGTGCGTTCTACTGTGTGTGCTCGTGATGGCGCACGCGCGCCACATTGTGACGCGAGTGTCTGCGCATGACTTCGTGTGATTGCAAGGCGCGCGAATGCGTGCATCAGCGAGCACGGCAGCGAGTACAAGTGAGACGGGGGCGGGCTTAGCCGAAATCCATGAAGAGGAGGGGATGGGTTGGCATCTAAGGCTTCAACCTCATCTCTTGCTGTTCCCTGACTTTTGAAAGCAGGTCTACTGCCATCTCTCTCTTTCATGCTTCAAAGTTCAAACGAGTGATGCTACAGGCTAGCATGCCGGATGAAGGGGAGTATAGATTAACTGGGCATTACTTCAGGAGTAATAACTAGTGCGCTTCATCTTGCGAATTTTGGTGGAGGAGGGGGCTCGTCGCGGGAAGGAGAAGAGTACAGTGTGTCCCGTGGAGTGGGAGGAGGATTGTCGGGAGATAGTGAGTGGGAGGTCCTTGAGGAGAGCGTCCAACTGCCGCCAAGTGCCATCAAGGGCTCGTTACAAGGGTGGAGGATTCTACTCGAATTTTGGCATTCAGTTGATCGTCGTTCTTTCCTCTTCATCTATGCTGCATCCACAGGGGAATATCATCTTTTTTTCTTTTTCTTTTTTTTTCTTTTTTCTTTTTTTTTTCAGAACCTCGTGGTTCTGGCTCCTACCATTCTGGGGAGCAACAGTCCGGTTCCTATTCCACGGGCAAGTCAATATGAAGTACATGAGGAACTCACACACACTCCTCCCCATTATGGTTGGGAGGTCCGAGAGGGCGGCATTGATTGCTTCCTTGTGGAAGGATGAACCCCCCTTCACCCCTGCCTAAGTTAACCTGCACTACTAGATCTCCTGGCCGCAGTCCTGCTCCTCTCAACTTTTATTGTTGTCAATCATCGAACTATGCTAGAGCGGACTGGGGCGTATGAACCAGTTCTTCCTTGGGAATATCATCATCATTCATTATCAACATCTTGAATCATATTAGTAGTCATGGTGAGCAGGTACAAGCCTTAGGGGGGAGTAGTTTTTTTCCTACTAACTCCCTTTCCACTCCACCTTCATCTCCATATCCCGCATTCTATTCTCTGCACTCTTTCTTCTGTAACAGTGTTGTCCCCTTTACACCCTTTTGTCTATTTACTCTATCCTCTTTCTGATTTTTTCTCGAGCACTTCCCTTAACTCTTCGTTAACCCATTGCTAGTTCGATCGTTGGTAACGCTTATACCAATCTTGATAAGGAGGCGAGCAAGTGTGATCACAATCAATGAACAGGCAGGGGCGAGGAAGAGGGAAGGAGGGGCACAATACGGGAGAAAGAGGCGGGGGGAGGAGAGACAGGACCTCAGGGTTGAGGGAGACGATGAGAGAGGGAGGGAGTACAGAGAGAGAAGGGAGGGAAGAGGAGGGAGGGTTAGAATAGGAGAGGGGGACAGGGGAAAGTCTCGCCCATCGTATGAATACTGACTTTACTCTTCTCAGATTGTGTTTTCTCTCATGACTTCTCTGTCTGATCTCTAGTTACCAAAAACCTTTTTACTTTCCTGATTTTATCCTCAATTAATCAATTAATCAATTATTATACAATCTTCTAATCATCATCCCAGTTAATCATCTCAACTATCAACAAGTGTGATCATCTTTAATTAATATATCTGATTATCCCTATCCTAAAACTGTGGAATCACGTGCTAAAATCGGAATGGTATTTTTTAATACCTAAAATGTCATATATAATTTACTAATTTAATTTACCTTTGTCTGTTCCCAATCTGTTTCAGGTGTATCACGTCTGATATTTACCATTATTTACCATTTGAATTTAAATATTAATTACTACTATTAATACGATCATTTTTTCTGTCCAGTAGTCCAAATTTACTTCAACCATAGGTTTTTTCTTATGTTATCAGACTTATTATCTAGATCTCTGATAATACTCAACTTCATGTTTGTTTTTGCTTTCCTATGGGTATGTAATTTCTTGCTGATTTTTTATTGGATGATTATGGATGGGGGAGCTCTGCTCTGCAGGGGTGTCACAATGTGGGTAGTGTACGCCCTGAAGAGAGTATGAGCAGAGTGTGAGGGATACTTGATTCTGGGGCTGGAGATCAATTACCGCGGAGGCAGATTAGGGTAAGGGAGAGAGAGCCATACTTTGGGTGAGAATTGGATGCCGCTAGGGCTCGTAGGTAGGAGAGTACAGATTGTTCCCAGTTGCCCAGTTGGGGCCGATAGGGTTGTTTACATTACGAACAGCTTCTCGGCAGAGGCAAGGATGGAACAGGAAGGGAAGGAGGAGCGAGGGGGGGGATTTGAGTGTTTTTTAAATAGAAATCAATCAATCATGTTGTATCAAGCCTTCTGGTGTTTTGTAATTTTGGGCAGTCTATGGCTTTCTTCCTCATTCGGGATATAAGATTTCATAGATGGTCGAATCTGGGCTGATATCTATGTAGTTGCTTTGTTTTGTGCTCCTCGTATGCCGATGCCAGAACGACGCTGGCCGGAGTTGGGGCGTTGCCTTGTAACCTGTAAATGGCAGGAGTGTGAGGCCTTGTAGAAAGATCTGGGGATTGGTCGAGGGAGGAAGACAATCCATGGGCGATCTGGGAGGTTGCTGCCATGGCAACCTACTGGTCCAGGTTTAGTCTAGGTGGTGAGAATAGGATAGTTATGGTGGAGGTTGGCTAGGATGACATTGTCTCTGAGATGTAATGTCCTGGTACAAGGAGGGCGATGAATTGTTCTAGGATTAGAAGGCCAGGATTGCTGATATAGCATAGTCCTTTAGAAATTTTTACATACTAATCACCGTCAAGTACGCAACTCTTGATGCTTACCAAATGATGATAACCTAATTAGGTTTTCTGAATTGTGTCTTCCGGAAAATAATTTCTTATACTTTTTTCGGGCTATACATCTTCGCTAAGAGTTTCTCAAACCACGGTTTAGGAATCAGATTCGAAAATCCGTTAAGGATATCTAAGCCTGATTTTCGTATAAATTCTCGTAACTTTTGTCATGTAGTAGTCTTCCTTATCATTGATCTTATGGTCTTATGGTCCTGTTTTTTTTTTCTTGTTTTTGACACAAACTCATTTTCTGATTGTCGATGCCTAATAGTGAGCTTCTGCAGTTCTTCTTAAAATTTGATTCGGATTGGCTTGTTAGTTCCAACTTCCTGGTCTTGAGGGGGGTGAGCGTGGCTTGCTATGTATGCCTGGGGTGTCTTCCTTGAGGGTTGGAGCCTCCCCCCGCGAGGGTTTCACAAGGTGGGAGGTGTTATTCTCGGAGGGGGGAGGCGGTATTGGGGGATTGCTGTCTCTTAGCCGGACTGATTTAGGGTCGGACCAGTACTAGCGGGTGGGGAGAGAAGGCAAGGGGGTGGCTGCTTATAGTAGTGTTAGAATCTTTGGAGGGAAGGAGAGAATTCCAGGGCTACACAGTGAGCCGAAGGGGGGGGGAAGCTAGGCTTGAAGGAGGGAAGGTAGTAAGGGGATTTTCAATAGAAATGGCTGTTTGTTTTGAGTAAGTCAGGAGGACGAGGCTGGGACGACACAGGCCGGTGCTGGAGCCGCTGCTCTGTAACCCAGGGGGAGCTGGAGGCTTGGGAAGTTATGCCGAGGGTGGAAGGCATAACCAGATCGTCCGACATAGCTGGCGCTGGGGTATTGACCTTGTAACCTGCGTAGGGGCTTGCCGCTACGGGAATTGTCGAGGGAGGAAGGCATTTCCTGTCCGTCAGAGTTGGGTTGATCGGTACTGGGGAGGGTTGTGGTGCCCTGTTACCCTAGCAGAAGGGGGGATGAGATCAAGTGAGCTCTGGTACGAGGGCTGAAAGCTTGGACCGACACTCTATCTATTGGAAGGGGGAATCTAGGATAGTGGTCAGTTTTAGTTTTGCCCCCCCCGTTCTGTAATTTTTAAAACATTGTTTGAAGGTCCTAAAGAGATTTGGGTGCTTAGTGGTCCTAGGATGGTTTTAGGACTTAGGGATCCCCACCAACTTGTCTTACGTGGCGTCATCACTGTTGTACTCGAGACCTGCGGTTGTTCGATGCCAGAACGACGCTGACCGGAGCTGGGGTGTTGCCCTGTAACCTGCGACGCAGGAGCGTGAGGTCTGGTAGAGAGATCTGGGGAGGTCTTGGGGGGCTTCCCACGGGACAACTAAGGGTTGCTGCCAGGACGACGCTGGTCGGAGCTGGGGTGAGTTGCGTTGCCCTGTAACCCAGCAGAAAGTGGGGGTGTGAGACCTGGAAGAGAGTGGCAGAAGTGTACGACAGTTTTGGAGAACGTTGGAAGGGTGTGTGTGGGTTTTCAAAGTTTTTGGAACAATCGTAGGACCTTTGTGGCCTATTCTCTTGCTTCTGAAACGACGTTAAGAGTTAATAAGGTGAGTGGTAGAAGATGGTGGGTTATCACGCGTCCTACCAGT